CTGGCCCGGACGAGGGCTTCTGCGTCCTGACGGCTTGGAAGGCGCGCCACTGGTCTGCCGTCATGTTGGGCGGGCGCGTGGCGCCCGAGAGGTCTGGGTCGGCCTTTTCTAGCTCGCGGGAGAGCCAGTTGGAGTAGGTTGCAAAGACTGTGCAGGTCTGCATGAGTTTGGAGTGGATCTGGCCGAGGTTTGCAAGTTAGCTGGAGACTGTACGATGAACCACATCGAGAGTGGTAGTGAGAAGGAGAAAAGACATACCCTGAGAAGCTTGCTGTTGGTGAGCATGCACTCCTTCAAGCACGTATCCAAGAAATCCACATGATCCTGCATCAGCTCGTCCACCGTCCGCGTAGGCGTCGTACCCCCCGGTGCCGTCGCCTCCTGGCCTTCCTCGCCGACTTTAAGCCGGGACATGAACTTTGCCCAGTTGGGCTCAATGACCTCGGCTGTGCAAAAGTACAGCAGCTGCTGCACAAAGACGAGCATGCGCGCGCGCAGCGTCCACACGCGGCGCTTCCAGATCTCGAGGCCGCGCGAGGAGCTCTTGTGCGACCACGTCAGGCCTGAGGTCTGCGAGTACCACGTCGTCGAGAGCTGGGACTCGAGGTAGCGCAGCGACAAGAGATACCGGAACAACGCCTGGTACCGCCACACGGTTTTGCGGCTGATGACGAGGGAGACGGGGAAGGGCACCGTGTAGTCCAGCTGGAGCGACGTGAAGCCGATGGCGTTCTTGTCGTTCTCGATGGGCTGCTGGTTCGCGAGCGGCTGCAATGTCTCGCCCTGCTCGATGCCCGTGATGTTGACGACCCGCTGCAGGGATTTGACGAGCGTGATCTCATTCATCTCTACCTTGACGTCCTCCTTGAAAGGGTCTAGCGAGACAACGCTGCCCGGCTGGCGTAGCACCAGGTCGAGGAGGGATTGCAGCTTGCCGGTGTTAACGGACTTGACAGGCTTTCGCAGCTCGGACGTGCCGAGCTCGAGGAAGTAAGAAAAGTAGTCGGACGGGTCCAGGAAGAAGTAGTGCTTCAGCGACCGCAGCCTCATGGGCAGCGAGTGCGTCGTGAGCAGCAGCTGCATGAGGGACTCGTTGGCGTGCGCGTACGCATTATTGACGTTCTCCAGGAAGCGGCTATCGTCAAACGACGTAGGCACGTCCTGGACGACCTTGCTCACGTCCACGCCGCCGCATTCCCTCACGACGTTGAGATACTTGCCCGCTAGTAGTACCTTGTCCTTAACACCTTCCAGTTGAGGGGGAATATCATGCTCCCGAATCGTGTACCGTCGCTCCCAGTACTCGTCCGTGTAGTCCTGCTCCAGCCGTTCTCTCCGAATGCTCTTCTGCTCCTTGACCAGAAACTCGGCGTGCGCGTCGTTGATGCTGCCGTGGTGCAGCCACTCGTTGAGCATCACCATGTAAGGTTTACTGGCATCACGCAGCAGCGACGTCAGTAACGCGCGCGCAGCCGGGTCTCCGGACATGGATTCAAGCCTCTTTGTGATGAGACCCAACACGACACCGCCTTTACAAATCTTCTTGCCCGAGCCCGGAACTAGGTCGCCGCCCTCCCGCAGTGACTCGAGAATATTCTCAAAGTCGTCTGCGCTATCGCTCTCTTCTTCGTCATCGTCGTCTAGTAGCGCATTCCTCTTAAGCAAGTCGTGTGCTAGGGAGTATAGATGCGACATCATCTTGCTCGTCGGCAATGTGTGGATGTTTAAAACATGAAGGGTAAAAGTCTCGTTGGTCAAGAATTGTGTCTCCAGCTGCGCGATCATGATGAGGTAGTCGTGCAAGAACTTCCTGATAGAGGCGCACAGAGCGTGATTGACGGCGCCGAATTCCTCTCTACTCTGCACGTCGACGAACATTTCGAGGGCTGAATAGTACGTCGCCATCTTCAGCATCGACAGCGTGAGGTCCTGCAGACTAGGGTCCAGGCCCGGTAGTATCCTGAACGTGGGCCCCGACAACCGGTCCCTCTCCTCGTGCGGGTTATACGTCTTTGCAAAGCGGATGTACTGTCCTTCGTAGCCCATGAAGACGAAGAGGAGATCTTCTAACATGACCGCCTCTTGCGCCTCGAGGGATAGCTCGTTTAGGGGTTTCGGTTGTTGAGGCTGCGGCGCCTGTGCCGCCAACGGCGGTATTGATATTCGACAGGCTAGGGGAGCCGATGTGTGAGGTAATAGTGTCGCCTCTGGGTTCCAAGGTGCTGCGGAATCGTTTAGTTAAACGGCCGTCGCTACTCCCAACACCAATGCAACCACCAAACTAACCTTGCGGGGTGTCAACCTTGGCCTCCTTGGGCTTCGCCTCAGCCGTCCGCGACTTGGCCTCGCCGCTCTTCCCCTTATCGCCTCCGCCCCTCACTGGGCTCCTTGTCCGCTGTGTCACGGTCTCGCGCTCCGTCACATAGGTCCTCTCCGTCCGCCTCTCCTCCACACGCCTGTCGTCGTGCATCCTGCTCGTAGCTCTGGGGTTCCCTGACGCAGATCTCTTGTGCGCATTACCTCCAGGGGACGCTTCTCTCTCCCCTCTCTCGCGCTGCTGGTGGTGGTCCCGCTCTCGTTCACGCTCGCGCTCACGCTCCCGCGGGCGCTCTCGTTCCCTCTCTCGTTGTCGCGCATCGCTCCTCTCGCTGCGCTCGTTCTTGAAAGTCGTCTGCCCGCTACCTGTGCCCGTGCCGCTCGCCGCTGCGCCTGCTGCGTTCATGCGTGCCGTTCGTGAAGGTCGGTCTTGGTCGACGCCGGCGGCTGAGCCGTTTGCGCGCCGCTCATGGGTTGAGACCCTGGTGGTGCCAGACGACATGTCGCCGACTGCATCTGAAGTGTAGGAGGCGACTTGGAGGGGTATTGGTTTTGTTCTTATGGCAATACGTTGACTCGGCCGTGATGGTTGGAGGGGATTGGTGGTGTTTTTGAGGAATTCGTTGCTTGGTCTTGCGGTTTGTGGTCTTTGTCTATCTGCCCCTCTATCGCAGAGTCGCAGTCTTACACTCCACGCGCGTGAGGTGGGTTGGGCACTGCATACGGTACCTTAGCTGTACTCAGGTACTCCAACGCGGTAAAGGGCCATTAACCTCAAGCGCGTCTAGTCGGAAAATCCTCGCGTGTTGTTGACCCCTGTCCCGGATATGGTAAACCTCCCCTGGAATATTCCGGGTTTAGCGTTCGGAGGGGCGGCAGCTGTTGGAGGGAGATCTGAGAGTGACCAAGATGACCAATCATAGAGCTTCCAGTCAGAGAACAGGGGGCAGCACCGTACCTGGGGCCCGGTCACTGTCGGCTCCAATGGCTGATGTGCTGGGCCACATCCCCGTGCCTCCCCAAAGGGAACCTGGCACACTGGAAGCTTACCCAGGTGGTGAGGTGCGGCTGCGTAGGCCAGGTGCTTGCCTAACCACACCTGCCATCTCAGCCTTCCACCGTCACCGTTTGTTACCTGGACCTTCCTCCAAGCTCCCCCTCCATCCATCCAAACCACCAGCATCCACGCAATCCCCGAACCACGACAACCTCAACCCCGACGACTTTCAAGCCATTGACCTTACCGACCCAAATACCCCTCATTTTCCTCTAGGAACTACACACACACAACACCGCCAAGATGTTTATGGCAAGATCTGAATACGGTAAAGCACCCAAACCAAGCAACACCAGCTTCTCCCCTTCGAACCTCCTCCTCGTCAGAAAACTCTCTCGTCTAACAAGAAACTCCTCCTCTCAACCCAACAGACCGAGGAATCAACACCTTTTCCCCAGAAGGCCGCCTCTTCCAAGTCGAATACTCCCTCGAGGCAATCAAGCTCGGCTCCACGGCCATCGGCGTCGCCACCGCAGAGGGCGTCGTCCTCGGCGTCGAGAAGCGTGTCACCTCAACCCTGCTCGAGACCTCGTCCGTCGAAAAGATTGTCGAGATTGACCGCCACATTGGCTGCGCAATGTCCGGCCTCCAGGCCGACGCCCGCTCCATGGTCGAGCACGCCCGCGTCGAGTCCCAGTCTCACTCCTTCAACTACAACGAGCCCCTCCGTGTCGAGTCGTGCACCCAGGCCATCTGCGACCTCGCCCTCCGCTTCGGCGAGGGCGCCGAGGGCGAGGAGACCATCATGTCCCGCCCCTTTGGCGTTGCCCTCCTCATCGCCGGCTATGACGAGGACGGCCCCCAGCTCTTCCACGCCGAGCCCAGCGGCACCTTTTACCGCTACGACGCCAAGGCTATCGGTTCCGGCTCCGAGGGCGCGCAGGCTGAGTTGCAGAATGAGTACCACAAGGTGAGCCTTTCTTTCTCTCCCCAACCCCAGGCGCTGAGAGATTCGGTTCTCTGCGAGAGAGTCGGCGGGGAGGGATCGAGCGACATGAAGCACTAACACACCCCCATTAGTCCCTGTCAATTACGGATGCCGAGACACTGGTGCTCAAGACGCTCAAGCAGGTCATGGAGGAGAAGCTCGACTCGAAAAACGTCCAGCTCGCCAGCGTAACGAAGGAAAAGGGCTTCAGAATATACACGGATGAGGAGATGGCCGCTGTGGTGGAGAGACTCCCTGCGAACTAAAAGGAGGGGGCCAGTGGTGTTTGAAAGAGGATCCAGGGTGCAATTTTTCGGTCTCGGCGACTCGGGAGAAAGTGAAAGAATACACTTGAGCCGTGGAAGAGGTAGAGAGCGCGGAAAAGAGAGAAAGCGGGAGACCCAGAAATCACCCGATTACGAAACTTGCAACCTGACGTTTAGACGAATTTCCCCCTTCAAAAAGTGCATCATCATTGTACTCAACGTAATGATGTCTCCGTCCTCTGGATCTCAACGATGGTGGTGACGCTGTGAGTGGGCATATTGTATTTACAAAACGTAGGACTACGACCTCTCCCCAAGACGTTACCTAAGTTGCGCCTCCACCCGCTGCCACGCATGCCTTCATGCTCACGGTCCTATCAACGCTCACAACACTCGCTACCCAAAGTAGTTCTGCCGGGAGTCGACCATCCTCTCAGCCCTCATCCTTAATCACTAACCTCTCCATCTCCTCCTCCACGCTAATCAGACCGAGAGCATAAAACGCCCTCTCCGACTTGGCGACGACGAGCACCGTGTCGTCACTATCGAGCTGCTCGATCCGTGCGCCGATCCGCCGCGGGTTCGACCACACGGATGGCGGCACCACGGTCTGCAGGCTCGGGTCGCGCGCGTACGGCGGACCCCGGCCCATGGCCGCCGCTTTTTTCCACCCGGACTCGCAGCCCTCGGCGATCTGCCGCGCCGACTGCCACCCTGTGAGACGGGCAATGTCGTGCATGCGCCTGACGATCCAGTGACGCTGAGCGTCGCTTTGGTACTGTGGAGCGTGTTAGCAGGCGTGGTATACAAGAAAAGTAAAAGGGAACTTGAGGAGTGGCTCAATGAGCGAGAAAGTGGATAAGGCAAGGGGAAAAAGAAAGGGGCGTCTTCTCACCTGAATAGCACTGACGAATAGACAGAATGAACTCTCAATCAGCGCCGCGCCAACGAGTGTGCTAATCTCGAGCACATTGCTACAATCGTCCGTCAATCCAGCCGCAATGCGACCAATCTCCATGGCGAACTTGGCCGTGTGTTGCGCCTGTATCCCCGCGGCGATCATAGCGGCGGGTGGCATCTTGGGATGCGCGCGGTAGAGGTGTATGAGGCCCATGTAGTAGTTCATCCAGATGCCCGCCACCGAGAAGGTGCGGTACTGCAGCGTGGGACCAAAGGGTGAATCCCGGCGGTCGGCATACTCGGCGCCCAGGGGCTGGAATTCGGGGCCGAAGCGGGACCGGAGCATCTCAAAGGCCTCACGGAGGGAAGTCCACTCGCGCATGGCAGCGTCTGCGGCTGCGTCCGAGTCAAGGTCGTCTTCCTCTCGGGCGTCGGGCGGCGGCGGGGAGTCGTCGCGCGGGGGGCTGAAGCCCATTGGCAGCGTCACTTTTCCGAGGTTGGGGAGCATACCCGGGAACATGGGCGGCGAGCCGCCGGGACCGCCGGGGCCCATCCCCGGTGGCGGCCCCATTCCTGGCGGCGGTCCTCCCATCATGTTTGGTGGCGGCATGCCCATTGGGGGGCCTCCGGAAGGTCCACCCGGCATCCCTCCCATCATCCCACCGGGAGGCCCTCCTCCGTGCATGCCCGTTGCCATTCCCGGCGGCGGTCCCATCCCTGGCGGCGGCCAACTCTGACCACCTCTCGGTGGCCCACCCGCACCTGGTTGTCCTCCATGCGGTGCTCCTCCAGGCCTCCCGCCGGGAGGTCCGCCGGGAGGTCCGCCAGGGGGGCCTCCTGGAGGACCAAAACCCTTGAAGGATTTTCGTTTTCTCGGGAGATCCTTAGATGCGAAGCTGCATAGGCGCCCGAGTAGTAGCATGAGGTGGTCGTACGTCCCGTATCTACTGTTTGTCAGCCAATTCGTGCTTTACAAATGGCGAGCTGGGCAGGCTTACATGGCCTCAAGTCGGCCCATGGGTGCTCGTGGCGGACACTGCGTCCAGTGCTGGTAATCCATGCTGTGTTTGCTTGTAAGCCGACGAAATGCTTCAGTATCCAAATCTTCCGAAACTTACAAAGGTTTCCCTCCGCCCAACATGCTCTGGTATACATCCATCTTGCAGTACCACCAGTACAAATCTCTCAAATGTTCGTAGTGCTCAATATCGCGGTCTGTGTAGTAGTGTGTAGATGGCTCATCGTCCTCGTACGAGACGTGCTGGTTAGTAAGCTTACTGAGAAAGCCGAGATCGAGATCGTCAAGATCGTGGCTCATCATGTGGGTGTTGTCATGGCCCATGTAGAAAGGGTCCATTGGCTGATTCTGGCTCTCCTGGAACAGCGCCCTCCTCACCCTTTTCAGTGGCAGAATGTTCTTTGTCATTTGCCTGAAGGGGATCTCCCTAATCAAGAGCCTAGAGCCAAAGAGATGGTTGCACCACTTTGTGTGATCCGAGTTCCAGACCTCAAAGTATCCAAGTAAGAGGGAGGCGGCCAGAGTTGCCGGCGACGTTCTCCTTTTAGGACTCCGTAGATTTTTGGCGATCCTGCGGATGGCAAGGTGATAATGCTTCATGGCCGCTGTCGGCGGTATCTGTTGCAGCTTGGCGATCTGCAACGCGCCCAATGCTAGCATTGCCTGCAGGAGGGCAGGATGTGTAAATGATATGATGGGAAATGTGTCTGATCATGAATTAGTCAATGGAGAAAAGACTTAACCACCATTATCTTACAGGTCCAGATGTTGTGTCCTGCTTTAGGCACGGAGAAGTTGTTTGTCAACTTTGAGTGGTCGAAAGGATGTCGCTCGTATAGCGACATGCTTGGCCCCGTGACGTTGATGAAGTGCCAGAACAAAGCAGCAGTTCGCTCGTCATTGAGTGGCGAATTATTGGGTGTAGGTATGTACGATGTGAGAATCGTTTCATCAGCAAAGGCCGAGAAGGACCTCATCTTAGTTCCGAATCCGTCCCAAGGTCCGTCGTTCCGACTCTGCACCAGTTGGCCGTACGCGCTCTCCTCGCCCATGAGATCTTCGAATGCGTCTTCGGAGTCGGGCATTGAGGCATCGTCGTCCGAGCATGGGTACTGGAACTCTGCGTCCTCCACAGGATGATCCATCTGAGGAGCTGAATTGGTGCTGGGATACACATCCATCTCTTCCACGTGCGCCTGAGCTCTCGCCGGCTGATGTCTCCATGGTTCTGTCGGACTGTGGACGAACGCGCCACTGTCTGTGTTGGGGCTGACCAAGTTGCTCTGTTGACCACCAAATTGCGCCTGAAATTGACTAGTTGGTGAGATGATGGAAGAGCTTGAAGGCATGTGTTGCTCGCCATACGGAAATTGGTTGAAGTCGAAGGCACTGGGAGGAGGTGCCTGGTGTTGATGCTGACCGGGAAAGCCTTGACCATAGGGAAACATCGGTTGGCCCTGGGAATCCAGATGTTGCGGCGGTTTAGGCGCGATCGGTGCCAGGGGAGGACCGTTGACGGACTTGAGTGGCGGGTTGGGCAGTTGGTTGAATGACTGGTTTGGCGCCTCGGGGGGATAGACGATAGGACCGTAGCTGCCATTGATATTAAATCCGGCGATGGGTTCTTTGAAAATGACACGCTGGTTGTACCCTTCGCAGTGCCTCTTGGACTTGATGCAGTTGTTACAGATGGGCCGGCCTTCATCGCACTTTATGCGACGTTTGCGACATGCTTTGGAGTCAAGTCAGACGTCGAGACCAAGTATGAACATGAGGGAGAGGGCCAGGAGGAAAAGAGACGGATGGAGGCCGAGGGTCAGAGCTGGGGTTCAACACATGGAACATACTGAGACAGCCGGTTTTCGTCCTTTTTCGCACATTTGCTTTCTCTTTCTTGCGGTTCGAGTCTTCATTCTCGTTGTCGTCGTTATTATTGTTGTTCTCCGAGGTCTTGGACGGTGACTTGTCGTCCTCGACGACCACGTCGGCGGGATCCATCCTAGTAGATGCTAGTGCGCTGCGAGTAATATCGGGGATTGCGACGCGGCTCTTAATCCATGAGTATGTTGACGACGACAGGCTGCATTGTCTACTAGTAGTCTGTAGTTCTGCGGCGCGGTGTTATGGCGAATGTCTCGTCCCTGCCGGTGGGAGGGTTTCTCTCTGAGATTCGTTTAGTAGTCTAAGGCAGGTATCGTTAAGCTAATAAGAATGGTTACAAGACAAGCCAAGTTCCGAGGCTTGACCCGCTGTCGAATGTGTGAAAGACTACAGGATTCTTCTGAGCCACCAAGCTTCTGGGTGTGTTGTTGAATGGTCTAGCGGCAGCGCAACGAGACACTGTGGATAATTCCCGTTTCTTGTGCGCGGCACCCGGATCGAAGGAAAGAATCAAAAGGACGCAGGTATGGGTTCTCAAGGATGTAGATGAGTTTTAAGCAGCCATAGATGGTGGAAGGAAGTGAAACAGGCCGGTGCTACTTTGTCTTCGGCGAATGGGTAGTCATGGGTTAGACAAGATGCATGGACTCGTGGGGTAGGACGGGGGGTAGGAAGGGTAGGGATGTCTGCAGCAGTTGGGAGAGAGCGAGAGGGAGACAGAGAGAGAGAGGAGAGGAGGAGGAGGAGGAAGTATCTGTGTCTTTCTCACCACACGAGGAACGAGGATTAGGTATCCATAGAGAGAGTGTGTGAGAGGGACAGAGACAGAGAGAGAGAGAGAGAGAGAGAGAGAGAGAGAGTGAGGCCCTTGTCCCCCCTAGACAAGGAAGGACAGACTAAGGAAGAAGTCGAGGTCCCAAGGCAATGTATTGTGCCTTGAGTTAGGGTATCTGATACGAGGCTAGAGCAGAGCAGCGTGGGGAGAACAGATGGGCCACAAACAACGGGGGCAGCCGCCAAGCAGCAAGTACCTTCTCTGGACTAAGAGGAGGCCGGGATGACCGGGGTCGATAAAAGGACGACGAGGATGGAAGCCGGCACCTAGGAAGTAGTCATGGTTCAGTATCCGTACCTTAGTGTGGCTCATTGTCGTGACTGGTGAGTACTCCGTAAGGCAAGGTTCCTTACCTAGGTGCATCAAGAGAGGTACAGGACTACCTTGGACCGCTGACCGCTAGGGCGAGAATGGAAAACAAGATAAGAGTATGTGCGTCTTGTCTCTATTGTGTGTCTCCTGAGGTGCCTCGCTCTGTCTGTCTCTCACTCTCATTCTCTTCCTCTCTCACTCTCTCACTGTGCCATTCTCTGGTAGGCGCGCGGGACAGGGGGGTCATGGAAGCCGCCAATGTCTCTCCTGCTGCTATTGTGAAGAGAGAGAGAAAGAGAGAGAAACATCAAGCAAAAAAACGCACCAACAGTTTGTATGGGATCGCTCCCAGGACTTGGATGTATTATTCGAGGGGTATTGGGGGGGAAGCACAAGAGAAGAAAGGCGCAGCTAGTGAGCCAGCCACAGCAATGAAGGAGACGGGGGTACCCTTGAGTTATTCGTGGATCATGTTGGTGGTGCGGCAAGACGACGGGAAGGGAGGAAACATTACGGTGGCTTGCGGACGCCGCACAGCATTGCAACACAGCGCAGCACACCCACATCTTCCCGCTGGCTAGGCTTGCTCTTTGGCACTTTGGTTCAAGGTCAGGTTCCATCTGGTACTGGATATCCCCTGCTGCTGGTGCTAAGACACTGGCACCGAACTGGACAATAAACTGCAAGGTGAACAGCTCAGCACAGAGCATATGTACCTCGTACGGGATGGATACCTTGTCCTCGGGCAGGGCAACCAGCCGCGGGAGAAGATTGCTTGCTTCTTTACCATTTCCATTCTCCCCGCGGCGCCAGAAGAGTACCTATCAAACTGCCACATCGGGGGGCGCAGGGTGGTAGCAGTCAAGATGGTGTAGCTTCGAAGCTCCCCGCCGTCATGATTCTGGCCAAGGTTCCGCGCTAGGGTGATGCGCTGCTGCGCTGCTGCTGGGCCCGCCCAGGGTTAGGCCGTTTAGGCCTTAGGGTCTCTCGGTTACCGCTGAGAGAGGGGCCGACGGCGGCGGGCAGCGACGGCGACGTAGGTATTTTCCATGGAGTATCCGTACTACGAGTACGAAGTACGGCCACCTCCTCTCTTCTAGGGCGGCAGGGCCCAGGGGTCTGTCATGTCCCGGATGACAGCCCATCGGTGGATATAGCGCGCGGCACTAATTAAGGTAAGGCCAGCTAACGTGCCTCCGTCGCTCAGGCAGTCAGCCTACATAATACAGTTGTCGTCTGTCGGTAGTGTAGGTGCCGGTAGACCAAGACTCCACGGCTACCAAGTACCAACACCCTTGGCACAAGAAGGTTCTGACTGATGATCTCTGCCGGCTGAAATCAGTCGAGGTGAGTGGGTGTGCTGAGGCTGAATGAGTGAGAAAAGTAGAGGAAACTCGGGGAGCCAAGACCTGCGTCGGATTCCGGGAGGTATTGGAGGCACCCACCCACAGCACCAAGCCTCCTCGCGCCTCGCGTGGCTTTCTTTTTTTTTCCCCCCTGGGTGACAGCCCATCTATCCCGATGAGCTAATCTGTACAGGCGCAATTGCGCACGGAGATTGGGAGCTTTCAGAGCTTGAATAGGGGAGCCGCCAAGCTGAAAATTCCAACGGCCTCATCCAACAAACTTTGTCCTCGCATTCCCGGCTGTCAGGCCAAGGTCGACAAGGCGTGCCTAGGTCAATCCGTAGGACCGTAGGTACGGAGTCTGTGGACACTGACAGGACGGATACTCCGTAGACGGCATGAACCATTGGGCTGCGTGACTAGGTATCAACGTGACATGCCGTCCGATTAAGACAGCCCGCCTGAGTCGCAGTGCTCTCGCAGACGACATGGGTGTAAGAGATGTAGATGCCGAATCTGATTTTCGTCCGAGGTTTGAGTGGTCTGGACTCACTCCCCGACAGGGTTGCCCAGCCTGCCAGCCTTCTGCCCCTCACCAATCCTCTGCCCTAAGGTAAGCAATGACCAAGCGGTGATCTGGTGGGGAGAGAAAAAAACGGTCGACATAGCATGCGGAATTCGTTGAGGCCTTGCGCAAGGTCTCCGGCTCAGGATCGGTCTTCCTGAGCCTCCGTCGACGTTGAAACCCACAAACTGTCCGTCGGTAGGTCTGAAGTTGGCCCTCGGCCGGATCTGGACCACTATTGATGGGAGTCGTTGTTCGAGAGGCATCTTGACAGGTTCTCGGTCGCCGCCGAAGGCAACGCACCGGTGGCGTCTCAGTCGAGGCGGAATGGATCCACTGGCTATGAGCCGAATTACCATGTGCCGAGCGGGAAACTAAGGTTTTTTTTTCCCCTTGGATTTTCTGCGAGGCCGGGGTTTGTGTAGAAGCCGTCTCGTTTTTCTTTCTTGCAAATGGAGGGGCATGATCTGATAATCCATATCGTCGTGCACAAGCGTTATGAACAACGGTAGCGTGGCATAAGGATGGCCCTAGTGCTCGGGCGAACGTCACTTTCCCTGCCCGACTACCCATTATCCAAGCAATGTCAGGGTCCATATCTGCTGGGTGCGAGCATTTCGCCGGGACGCAATGGACGGGAGAACAAGACGCCGGAAACGATGTGTTGCTGAAGGATCCCGGTAACATTCCCCCGTCCGAAGACGCTTTCCAATACATCCAAGATCCAAGCCGGGGGCCAATCGTCGCGTTTCCGACCTGCTGGATAGTGTGACCGATCACTGGTCTCAGCATCGTTGACTGGCATACAGTGCAACACAAACGTCGCGCATTGTTGAACGAAAGGAGGCGTGCTGGTCACCGCGAGCCACCTTTGCCTGTGCTCTCCTGAACAAACAGGTCACATCCAGCTCCCTATATTCAATCGCCTTGTACACTCCCGGTGCTCCTCGATACGCGCAGGAACACACCGCACCTTGGCAGATTTCCCCAGACGTTATTTACTCTATCTGGTCTCGGTTGAAGCCCGCAGCAACGGTTGCTGCAGGTCAGATATGCATCCTGCCTTCTCGCAGCCGCAGAGTCCGGCTCAATGTCTGCATAGCCGGAAGGGCAACAGATTTCGGCCCTCCTGAAGTGCGTTCCTGTATGATTTCGAATGTTTGATTCGCGGGTTGTATGTGATTTTGGAGTCGGTACTTTGTTGGTCGCCCCTCATGCCAATGGTCCAAGTAGACACTCAAATATTCGCCTCATCAACGTGGGACTTGCATCGCAAGCAACTCTCCATGAAGCCGACGGGATCATTCGACCGTTTCTCTCAAAGCTCGTTGCTCGTAATAGAGTCTTTCAGAAATCTCCAGTTGGATTCTTGGAAAGGGAGTAATCTGAAAGACGGGTCTCTGTACTCGAACAGGTAAGGTGGCTTGACCTGCCACGCCGTTTCCTCCCCACCTCGTCGTCTCTGTCTTGCGCCGAATGTAGCAAAGCGTCCATCGACAACCTTCCGTTGAGTCGGGCAATACGCCGTACCCTTGTTTTCGGGCCAAAGATCGGGGCTTCTGTGTTGAACCGACCCATGCCGAGAAACTGGGCAATTGACCGCATACCATTTTGGTTCCAAGCGTCTAAGCCTTCCTCCTTCGGACAGAGGAGTTCGAGGGCGGGGGGTCCCGTAGATATTTTGGTAGGTGGTATTCCTAAATGTACGCATCTAGTCACTTGACAGGCAGGCGGATCTGGCTGTGGCGAGTGGTGCCTCTCGCGCACGCGTCTTGGAATGATACCTAGTGCGAGAAGCCCTGTGGTGATGAGGGTTGCTGGCGTCTGACTTGGGAATCGAGAACCGTAATGTACATCCCGTCTCAACAAGACGAGCTTGTCACGTACGCGGCGAATGGCTAATTTCTTGGATCATACTCCGTCCGCAACTCAGAGGTGTCGGAAACCGGCGCCAAAAGACACCCTACAAACTGAGACAGCCTCATAGGCTCATTACTCCGAGCACGTTGTTTTCGTCTTCTGAGTTGCATGCGGCCGGATCCGGGGAGGAATGAATACTGTCTGAAGTGATTGGATTATCTTGCAGCGCCTTTCGGTGACGACTCGTAAACCGTTTCCTGTTGACGTCGATGAAGGCTACGTGCAGTAGACAAATCGCCGGTCCGATATACTTGCTTTTTCCCCCCTCTATTATTCCAATCAGCGTAGCTTTCAAGCTTCTAATAGCCGCAACAGGATGCAGCTTGATTACTAGTCAGTATGGCCCCGGCAGCGCTGCCCAGAACTGTAAGTCAGACGAGGTACCCAGCTCGTGTTGGGATGAATTGTAAATGCGAAGTCGTTGAAGACCAGCCTAAACTCTCAAATCCGCAGATCAGGCCACCGCCCACACGGCCAGCTGCAAAGTGTAGAAACGTTTCCAGGGGTTTCCAGTGTGTTGGGCTTAGGTCGAGGTCATCGACGGCCTAGCTCGCCAATAGCGTGTTCCGTAATCGACTGGCTGTAGTTCCTTCGGGTTGACATAAACAATACGCCGGCACGCCGGGTTGCCCAAAATGCCGCGTCTGCGGGTCTTTTAGATTGACAGGAATGAGGTCTAGGAACATCACCCAGCGCCGTTGGATCGACTCTAATGATTGTTCCGCTGTGGCGACGACCGTTGAAGCCTGACCACCTTGCTGGTAACGAGAGCAAGGATGTCAAATGTCAATAGGACTAAACAAGGAATGGGATAAACCAAACAAAGCACTTTTCAAAATCCTCCCATCATGAGAAATGATTCGAATTAAAAAAAATCTTGGTCGAAATTTGATTCAAATGTGCAGGCTGTGATGTGAGTATAGGGAAAGGGAAGAGGAAATGAAGACGGGATGCAACTGTGACTTGTGAGGAAGCAGAGGAAACAGAGACGGGATGCACGGTCCACCAGTCTAACTCGGCCCATCCTGGCGTCGATCAAAAAAGCAGGGGTGCGATAAGCGACCTCTGGGGAAAGGAAGGAAAGAAAAAAAATTCCAACGTCGATAAGCCGCGAGAGAGAGTTCATGAGATGCGCATGAGCTTCAAGCAACAAGCTCATTCAACAACCACATCCTATTAGATTCGTAGGCGCCTCAAGAAGCTCACATAATCCGGACATCTAGAACATCACTCTTGGCAATTGAAACATGTTCGCCGTCCCAGGATGGTCCGTCGCGGCCGAGGGTCTCAAAACCGAGACCCAGGTGAAGAAGGCCAGCAACCCCGCCAAGAACGAGAGCAAGAAGCGCAAGAGGGCCAACAAGCAAGAGAAGAAGGAGAAGAAGGCGCCCACCTCGGGTGCTAACTCCGTCCTGGTTAACCCTCGCGTGTTTGGAGAAAAGAGGGAGGATGCTCCTCCTGCCACCGCCGAGGCTGATCACGATGGCGACGATGCGGATGAGGCTGAGGCCGAGACGCCCAAGCCGAGCAAGAAGCAGAAAAAGGAGAAGAAGGAAAAGAAGAGCGAGGGAGCAGAAAAGACGCAGGAGACGCCCAAATCCGACAAGAAGCAGAAGAAGCAGAGCAAGGAAAAGTCCATCAACGAAGATGAGCCAGCCACACCAGCAGCAGAGACCACACCGTCAAAGACGTCACAAAAGGCAGCCTCGACAGACAAGCAAGACAAGCTCGAGAAGAAGAAGAACAAGGACGCCGCCGCGGCCATCGCCGCCTCCGTACCCCCCGTCCCGCCCGCCGCGGCCAAGCTCACCCCCCTCCAGCGCTCCATGCGCCAGAAGCTCGTCTCGGCCCGCTTCCGCCACCTCAACGAGACGCTCTACACCCGCCCCTCGGCCCAGGCCTACCAACTCTTCGAGGACTCCCCCGAGATGTTCTCCGAGTACCACGAGGGCTTCCGCCGCCAGGTCGAGGTCTGGCCCTCGAACCCCGTCGACGGCTACATCCGCGACATCAAGCTCCGCGCCAGAGCCCGCTTCCCCAACGCTCGCGGAGGACGCCCCGGCGGCGCGCCATCCAAGCCCGACGGCCCTCAGCCTCTGCCCCGTACCGACGGAACATGCTACGTCGCCGACTTGGGCTGCGGCGACGCCCGCCTCGCCTCGACCCTCGAGCCCGAATCCAAGAAGCTCAAGCTCCAAATCATGAGCTACGACCTCCACTCTCCCGCGAAACACGTCACAAAGGCCGACATCGCCAATCTGCCCCTCGAAAACGACTCGGTCGACGTCGCCATCTTCTGCCTCGCCCTTATGGGCACCAACTGGCTCGACTTCATCGAGGAGGCCTACCGCATCCTCCACTGGAAGGGCGAGCTCTGGATCGCCGAGATCAAGTCCCGCTTCGGCCCCGTGCACCGCAAGAACGCCGTCGTTTCGCACAGCGTCGGCAACCGCAAAAAGGCAGCCGCCGCCGCCGCGGGAAAGAAGACAAAAGAACACGAGGAGACGGAGGATGACCGCACGGCTCTCGCCGTCGAGGTCGACGGCCACGAGGACAAGCGCGGCGAGACGGACGTCTCCGCCTTTGTCGAGGCGCTGCGGAAGCGCGGCTTCGTCTTGGCGGGCCAGGGCGAGGGCAACAAAGGCGCAGTGGACTTGTCCAACAAGATGTTTGTCAAGATGCACTTCATCAAGGGCGCCGTGCCCACCAAGGGCAAGGGCCTTGCCGCGGCCAAGGCGGCCGGCTACGTGGACAAGGAGAAGAAGCAAAAGAGGTTCGTGTGGGAGACGGAGGAGGACAAGGTTGATGAGACGGGTATTTTGAAGCCCTGTGTATACAAGATCCGGTAGAAGTGGCCGGTTGTATATTGTTCTTGTGAGGGTTTGGTGCATGAAAAGTTGTCTTTATCTATGGGTTAATATATCAAAAGAAGAGTGCCTATATTTGACAACTGCGACCAACTTCATTGGGATGAAGCTAGTTGTAGTACCACCGGCGTGGAGGGGACCACAGCGAGTGCCGTTCATGTGTAATCGTTTACACTATCGTGGGCAAGTCTCGAAGGCTCAGTTGGCATTACTTGAAATTCAAAATTGCCGAACTTGTCTATCAAAACGCTTTAAACGCATATCGTGTCGAGCTGCGCATGCATGATACGACGAATCCAATTCATCCCCCTTTCTCCAGCCTAAAATTGTCCCATACCATTTGCGATCCGACCATGCAGGTCCATTTCAACCAAAGAATTTCCGATACGCCCCTAATCCAGTCTATGCCCCGAATAAGAGACCGGCAGCGAACTCGACATTGCCACCTGTGGCTTGCAAAGCATTGATCGCGGCTTCACGGGGAAAACCTAGAGCCATGAGCTGGTTGATATGCTCTTCCGGGAAGGTTGGTGCTGCAGGCTGCTGCTGAGGTGCTGGCCGACCCTGTGGAAGGGTTTGCTGCGTTGGCGCGGCAGCAGCAGCGCCTTCGGGACCACTGACAACACCGGAACGCTGACCGATGGTCGTTCCAGCTGGGCCAGGCAATCTGGGTTCTTCTTCCAGAGCCTCCTCGCTCTCCTTCGGAATCTCCGCTTCGCCCAAGAACGACACCTCCTCGCCCTGGATGATCAGCTTGTCCTTGGCCAAGTCAATGCTGGCTTGGTAGCGCTTGAGCATGTCGAGGCCAAGGAGAAGCTCGACCTGCTTGCCCTCCATGACGGTGAAGCTGCAAGGCAGAAACATGGTGCCGACCTTGATCTGGGCAGAGTGTACACGTCCGATGATGTTTGCGGTGCCTACTCCACGAGCCACACCCGCAAACCGCTTGTCAACGAGTCTCATGATGCCGCAGGCTTCGGCACATGAAGGAGACATGATGGTTGCCTGTGCTCCAGAATCGACCAACGCCTTTACTCTATGGCCGTTCACCTCTACGTCGACATATAGCATGTGCACTCGTCCAAATACTGTATGAAGTCAGGTTTTATGCCCGCTCTTGTTATGCCTTGGATTGTCTGCCATACCTTCAGGGTTGTGCTCCATGGCGTTTTGGAGGTTCTCCATAACTCTCTCTTGACGAATCATCTCTTCAATCTTCTGCTGAGCCTCGATATCGAAGGGGTCCTCGTTCAGACGGGCAATCTGCCTCTGCCGCTCTTCGCGGTCCCGCTGCTCACGGTCGTAACTCTGGTTGAAAAGCTGGGCGAATCTCTGGGGATCATCGAGAACGGCGGCGAGCTGGGGCTGCTGGCGGGTGGCTTCGGCCCGTAGGTTTGGATCGCCCAGGATCTGGAGGCGAATGAGCTCAGGGTCTTGTCCTCCTGGTCGCCGGCGCTGCTGCGGTGCCCTTCTGCCCTGGTCGGGCAAGCCAGTGCTTCCTTGCATGTCCCTCACGTGTAGCGCCAGCATCTCGCCATCGGCAATCTGCAGTTGTTCCATCGTCTGAGTGTCATCTTGGATCAAGCGACCGTTGTGGTAGAGGTGTTGGGAGGTAGGTACGATGTTGGTCTCGGCTTGGATGGCTTCGCGGAGTGTAGACATGGGCATGTCGGGAAAGATCTCGAGGGTGAGAAGATCCTGGTCCTCGACCTCGGGGTTCGTTATGCTCAACGTAATGCGCCTGTTGGAGGGAAGAAGAGTCAGCGGAGAACGTGTCAAGTCCCGACAAAGGAGCAAAGCTTACATGATGGGCCTTTGGTCCTGGCGTACAGGCAGGAGCTGTTGGCCGATGGTTTGATCGGGAGATGAAAGTAAGAACAGGACTGGCGGCGGGAAGAATGAAAGAGGCCGGATCTGATCCAGGAAAATCGTCGGGTTTCACTGTTGCGAAAGCGAAGTTGAAGTTACCCTCAGCACGGAGCTGCGGAGGAGGGGTGTTGGAGGGGCCGAAATTCAGGCAACACAATGGTGACGTCTCATCCGGAAAGTAAACAGCTGCTGGATGGACGATTGGATGAAGTAGAGCTCTGAGAAAAGTTTCGATGTGATTCTGCAGCCTTGTAGCGGTGGTGAACGATTGGACAGATGGTATCTGATGTGTTGAGAGACACTTGGTCTCAAAGAAAGGATCTCAAGGTAAGGTGGAAGGGAGCCGTGGGAGGCAGCGGAGGGTAAAAGCAAGGTAGAGCTCGGCAAGTTGGGGTACCTTTTTGAGTGTTTCGTAAGGAAGGTGGGTGCAGTGACGAGACCCCTACACAGTACGTTTCCCCGTTTGCAGTGGCTCAGGATGGGGTCGACGGGGACCAGGACGGGGAATGTTTCCGTACTGCGGACTTAACTACTGCGTCTATGTAGCAAGGTAAGGTAGAATGGGGCGGCCGGAATGCAAACACTGTGAAAAGCAAATCTGTGTGTTCCCAAGGCACAAATACCTGACCTTTTCGCACCGGTACCTAAGTTTCCTAAGGTTCCCAAGGTATTGGAAGTACACGGGAGGGAAAGCACTGGCCACGGAAAGAGATGGCGAACAGAAGCTCATGGAAGGCTTCGGGAACTTCTCCGCTCACCCTAGCTTAAGGTACCTTACCTGACAGATACTTTGACTGTGTGTTTCCTGTCAGCCAGACAGACGCATGCTTTTGGTTTGTTTTCTTCAGTCTAGGTATTTTTGCGCGTCAATCTCTGCCTCTCAAGGCATCGACTTGCTTAGCCGCAGCAAGGAAGCCATTGAATAATTGAGCTTCCCAGTTCCAAGGTTGCTGAGGTCACAGCAGCACGGGCAGGTTCCCCTACGGCATATCAGCCCCACGAGCTAATCGTTGACTAAGCCCTCAAGTGGCTTCCAAGTATCTTTGACACCAAGTCAGGTAGAAGATGGCGCAATCAAGTACTTGACCTATACCTGCGGCAGCTGCGCGAGCCAAGCAATCGACCTCATCAACCCTTGCAATCGACTCGTGTACTTCCTTATGGAGCAGGTACAAGAGCTGAGAATCCCCTCTTGTTTCTGCTATTTCTGCACTTGCATCTTTTTCTTTTCCCTGTGCCGAACTGACATGTCATAGATTCTTAGATTGTGCCGCCAATCGATGTCTAGCAGCGACATGTCCTGCCACCTCCGCCCGTGGGTTTCTGTGCGATGATGACAATCCTACGAGCACCTCAACTTACCGCTGCTTGAGGCAGAGAAGCACCTGGTTCCTCGCTTGGAACCTGCATCCGTTTTTTCCCCCTTCAAGCCATGACGAAGAACGTCTATCACGTCCGACCTGGATGGACGACGATGGACTTGGCCTGGAACGGATACATCCTGTCAAGTTTCTTCTTCATCACCCCGTGCTGGAGAGGTCCCAGCATCTGACTGCCTGCATGCGACCTCGCTGCTCACCCTCCACTCGAAGAGCAGGCTCGCAGGTCTGGTTCGAGTCAATGACAATGCATACCTTGTTTATATGGCGACTGCAAGTACCGGGAATTTTGTCCTGAACGGAATGTTCATGATCTGACGGCACGGGATCTTGATTCCAAGCTGCCGTTGCTCCCACCGATATCTCGCACATGCGACGTCTCGAAGGCGAGCAGAGATCGGCGTGCCAACTTCGCTCCGCTGGAGGGTCGGAACTGCAGTCAGCTCGGATGCCGGCCCTGAAGTCAGTCGGATCCGGCTTCCGGTGGTGGCCGCATTCCGGGTTCTCGACGCTGCTCTGTTGCAATGCTCCGCGTCTTCGTACTTGATGCAGTATGCGCTCTCGGCCTCTGCAACCCACACCGATTCATTAGGAAGGTCCATCACCACAGCCTAAGCGGGTTGACTCATAACTTACAACTCAGAATGCCTTCGGACTTCGCCCATCTGACATGGCGGAAAGCCCAAAAAGTGCCTCAGGGCCCTTCCTAGACCGCATTGAGCCTGCTGCATATGCTGCATTGCGGCGGGGCAATGCAACTCTGGATCGCCGACCCGGAAAGATTCTCGAAGTCGATACTGCAGTTATGTCCATTTCGGTGAATACCTGCAGCTGTCAACATGCCACAGCGAAAAGTTTTTCGTCTGCTTGCTTCGGCCTCGTAGTTGCAGCTGTCTTATCAGCCAAGATCCAGACGAAAGCCAAGGTCTATGCGGATCGACAGGCTCAGGGTCTTCTTGCCTACGGATACACATTATGATGTCGCTGCGGATTCTTCAGCCTTCAACACAATATTCATCGCCTTTGAGTACGGAGCAGTAGGTTCTATACGATTCGACGGCGGGCTGGGTTGGTGTGCCATACAAGTGTGAAGCACACCGCAGCAGGCGGAGTCAGGGGAAAGGAGCAACAAGCATGCCGGCCAAGACGTAACTAAGGTAAGTCGCTCGCCCACCCACGCGAATCCAAAAGTCTGAATCTACATTGTGCCGCACTCCTCTTTTCAAAGTTTGTCGTTGCAGTCGCTGACAGTGCCTAGATCTTATTCGGTTTCTATCGGCTGCATTGGCCAAAACCAGCCTCAATCTGACGGGACGGAACAGCAATTAGCGGTCTGGAAGCAAACAGCGCATTTCTCAGTCTGCCAAAGACCAGATATTACAACGCCGAAATCCCGGGAAAACCATGATGCAACCCTGAATTTACAGTCTCGGGAACTCTGTGCTTGTACCCTGACAGGCGAGGGGAAGACTGATCTCATTAGCAGTATCGGAGCAGGGAGTGATGTTGAACTTGGCTTACTGTGGGGAAATGGGTACAAGTCAGGTCACTTTCTCTCTCTCTTCTCTTCCCTTGATCCCAACCAACCTTGCCATATTGGCAAGCCTTTCAAGCATCTTTTCCAGTTTCTATCCTGTCCTTGGGCGATGGCCTGGATCGAAAGAAAGCAACAGTACCCATTGTTACCCGCCATGCCCTGCAAAGAAGACCTTTTCTGCGATTTCCTTTTCCAAAAGCTGGGATGCCACATGAACAGCATCATGTCTCTTTCGCCAATGCCAACAACTCGGGGAAGTTTTCTGGGAAGAGTGGAAAATAAGATGGAGCCGGGCAACAGTTCCAGCGTCGCCTAGAAATACCCATGGGCTAAACAGGCCACAACTGTGCCACTGCGGGTAGGTCAGTCACGCGACAAACACCTCATAACCACAACCACACCTCACACAGAGTGTCCAATGATGGAGGGTGTTGCTCTGCCATGGTCCATGGCAAGTCACTGAACTCCAATTCCCTCCAGTTCCCTTTCTGGCTGCTGCAATCTCAATCCCGTTTTCTACCATCTCCATATCTCTCTGTTTGGTCTGCAGCCAGGTTACTCCTCTTTTTGCAATCCCGTTATCGCCTTCACAGCTCAGGTTCACTTGACTTGTCCCAATGCTTTGTCCCCTCTCCGCCGTGGACCACCCGATCTGACCTTAGCCTTTCTGAGACGTCTTCCCTCCTCCGTTCCGACACCCACTGCACCGAGCTAAGGCGTTCACTCGGCCTTGCCTATCGGCACACACCGGCCGGGCATTACTTGACTCACAGCCCCATCAGGCCCCGCTCGGCAACGACAACGCCGAGTCCAACGGCCGGCAGCACCCCGATGCCCCTCCGGAGCTACCTGTGCACTCGCCCAACCAGCCCCTTCAACCATCACCTCAAGGTACCAACAGCACCCGCCTCTTCTGGGTGCCATCCTGAAGTGTCTTCTTGCCTTGTTTGAAACCCTTCAGTCTCTCTGTCTGCCAGCTGACGGGGGGTAATTTGACCCAACAAGCCGCCCTCTGGTTGATTCCATCACCTCGCTTCTTCTCTCTGTGTAACCAACAACTCTTCCCACTTCCAACTTCTTCCTTCCCCAACTCTGCCCAGCTCTCTGCAAATTCCCATACGTCGTCCTGGCGTATTCTTCTCCTCCTCCTCAAACCTCTCTTCCAAAACCGCTTTCTCCATCTTCCGCGTCATACACAACTTCCCCGATCCTACGTCATCATGCCTGACGAGAAAGATCCCCCGGTCGCCCAGCATGAGGAGGCGTCCGACTGCGCCATCGACAGTTCTGACGATGCCGACGACGAGTACATCGAGGCTCAGATGTCCCAGTCAGAGCTGAAGAAGAAGCAACAAACGCAGCGCCGGACGATCCAGCATATCGTTCCTTTCAAATGGAGCCCTTTGGTTTTGCCTTTGACCGAGTCGAACCTCGAGTCTTGCGTCGCCCTCGAGGACGCTGCATTCACTGATCCGAGTCATCGCGCTACCCGCGTAAAGGTGAGCCGATTTGTCCCATCTCTTTTTTTCCCACGCCACCTTCATTCCTTTTACCATTCTCATATCCTTGGGCCATCGAGTCCGGGGGTTCTGCCGGGCCTAAACTACCAAGAGCTCATCTCATGCATGGGAATGAGAGTTCTGCGGGTTCCCATCGTTGGCGGATGGATAAGTCGCATGACATCTCATGGGCAGGGCACCACATATCATGCTTCACGTAAAGCTTACACTCCCGATCGCAGTTCATGTACCGCCTCGCGACCTGCTCAGACATCTCTACAGGTCTCTTCTGTAGCGTCGTCCCGGCCGAGGCCGCAGCTTTTCCTCTCTCAACCATGGCCGTCGCTAGCCCCGTCGAGACAGGTCGCGCCAACGGAGCCAAGC